CACCCTGGCTCCTACCTCCCAGCTCTTCCCACAGTCCTGGGAAGAGAGACTGTGGGAACAACTTAGAGATAATTCCTCCCCTGCGTGACACAGGAGAGAGCCAGCCTGGAATTTCAGGTGATTTTCTGCTCAGAGAAGTTCCCATGAGAACAGAAAGAGCCAGTGAGGGAAGGGTCTCTTTATTCAGCTCTTTTCCAAGTGACCACTAGTGGGCCGTTCACTCTCCCTGGAATCCCTCCTTCTCATCTCAGGGGGACAGGTGGCTTTGGTCTGGCCCATCCAGAATCCTGGTCAGTCTGTCTGGGTCTCTATAAACCCAGGATGGACCTCCTCCCCTCCCTTCCAAGTCATAGTCTCCCCAAGGCTCAGTCTCCACCTCTGGGCTACCACCCAGGGCCAGACCCATAAGCAGCAGTTTCTGGAGGAAAGTAAGAAGCCACATGGATGATCCCATCGTAAATGTTCATGTCACATTTCAGTAATTCCTGTAAAGTGAATAGAGAGGCATCTGAGCCCTGTGCCCTTCTCAGAACAGGGTCCAGAGTCTCCAGGCCTGCTACACCTACAGCTGCTTTCTGCCCTGGCCTGGCTGTGCTCAGGGCTCCAGTCCCCAGGTCCCTCTGTTTTCTGCTCACCATCCCCTCATCCCCCTTTCACTGCTGTTTCCTGAATCTCAAAGCTCAGCCAGGTATAGGGTATAGCAGGTCCTAGGTCCCACAGGTGGTCCACCTTGGACCTGTGGGAACAGAATAGTCATCTCCCACACTCACCTCACACATGGGAAGGGCTGCCCCAGGGCCAGGGAGAGGGGCCTGTGTTTGGGAGAGGACAGATAGCAGATGAGAAGGAAGGAGGGCCATTGAGGCTGAGACCCCAGGGAGCAGGTACCAGGCTGGGCCTGGAAATTTCTGGTCTCTGACTGGTAGAACTTACTCCCCTGTGTCTTCCTCATGTCCCCTCAGGAGTGACCAGCTCTGCCTCCTGAGCACCAGCCTCCATTCTCAGATGGACAGCCCATCCTGCCTGTACCTATCCTGCACCCTCATTATCACAGGACCCCCAACTGATGCTCCCAGCACAACTCTGCATCTACTGAACTCCAAGAGTCCCTCAGATGGACAGAGACATGCAGCATGGTCCCAGGGCAAGGCAAGGGTGGTCCTGCCCCTAAAGACAGGCCCCAATTTGGCTAGCCATTCCTGGCCCTAGGAGAAATGGGTCTGTGCTGTGCTGGGGTGACAGTGCCCTGCCTTCAGCCTGCACAGCTGGGACCCTGAGTGAAAAGGGAGGTGACAGGCTTAACAGGCTGATTTGTCCAAGGTACAATGACCTGGAGGCAGAGACAGGAATTAGCAGGAGGGTGTGAGGAGGGCTAGGCTCCTCCTGCAGGAGGATATGGGGGGGTCCTCAACTCTAAGAGCCTCAGGGGAGTTAAGCATCTCCCTGGGAGAGACCCTTCAGCCATGTCAGGGGCCAAGTGGGCAAGTGAGGCTGAGGAGGTGACCATGACCTGGATCCCACAGGTCTGGGTTGACCTGTCCGTTGGGGTTCACTGTGCTGAGTGTTTTATGAGATCCCTTTATGATGCTCCAAGGAAAGGGTCAAGGCCCTGGGGCAGAGAGGTGACTGCTAGAGTGGACAGTGTGGGACAGGCCTGGGAGCTCTGGGGACATCAGGGCTCAAGGGGATTCACCAGGGGTGGACACAGAGGGCTGGTGCTCTCTGAGACTATGCTAGACGTGAGTCCTAGGAAAGGCCAGGTGTATTTATGAGGGTGCAGGGAGACGTCACAGTTCTGGAGTCTGAGGGGGACAAAATGGCCACCCCACGTCCAAGGGGACATTTGCAGATGTCTCCCCATCAGTCTGTTGATGGAGGGGGGCGGTCTTCCAGAAGCAGGGAGCAGAGGAAAGGCCTTAAGAATTGACTTCTGTCCTGGGACAGAGGGGAAGGTCCTGATTCCTCAGGCAGATGCAGATGCAGACGCAGGACACACTGACACAGGACCCAGGAAAGGGACTGAGGGCCCAGGAAAGAAGGCAACCTGAGGGTTTGACTTAGTGGAAGGGTCCAGGTCTGGGAGGGAGAGAGGGCCAGACTTGTGCGTGGGACCCTGGGGGAGCCACATGCATCAGGATTCTCCCTGACCTTGGTGTCCCTGCTGTGGTCAGACCCTCTGCTCAGGCAAGAAGGTGCTAAGGTGTGAGTCTTAGCTCTCTGAGCTTCTTGGCAAGAGACAAGACATTCAGAACCCACAATCCTGGCTGGGCCTGGGCACTCCCACATCACATATTGGAAGGTGTGTGTAACTCAGCAGCCATGGGGGCACTGACCCCACCCAGCCTGTCCAGGGCCCTCCACTCACCCTGTGTGACCCTAGTCAGTACCACCTCCTGGGCTGTGACCCCTCCCCAGCTGGTGGGTGAAATACACAGAGGAGGGGGTGTTTGCTGAGCAAGCCCTCCCCAGGTAGCACTGCAGGCTTGCTATGTGAGGAACTAGGCCGGCTGGGTCCCTAGTTGTGTCATTTACAGAGGAGGAAGCAGTTGAGGAGCAGCCCAGGGCCAACAGCTGGTGAGGAGGAGCTGGTGGAACAGGGGAAAGCTTCCATGGGAGGTTGGGGGACAGGAGCCAGGTCCAGAACCCAAGGTCTCCACTCTGGTCAACCCCAGGTGGGGTCAAGTGGGGAGAGCCCTCAATACCTGCCAGTCCTTCTGAGGAGCAGGAAACAGGTCACTGCAACCACCAGAACCACACCGAGCACAGCTCCGGTCACAATGGCTGCGATGGTCCTCACAGAGAGGCCTGAAGCCTTTCCTGCTGCCGTAGAGAGAAAAGAAAAAGGGAGAACTGTGTCCAGAAGAGCCACAAGGTACCTTGCAGGAAAGGGACCAGAAAATTTGTCACTAAAGGTCCGAGAGTGTTGTCATCACCATGTCCTCCGACTCTGCGGTCTGTCGGCAGTTGCTTCATTTTCTGTTTTGAAACCTGAACTTGCTCTAACTCTCATGTTCCCCCTCCTGCAACCTGTACCACACTCTGTCACGTTCCTGTTAGTGCCTCTTCCTCTGCTTTCTCTTCTCCCTCCTATGACAGTCCTGGAGGACAGGTCCTAACTGGTCAGCACCAGGCTCAAGATAGTAAGCGACTGGAAGTCACTTTCCCTACATCTCATCTCATCCTTCCGTCCCCATCAGGAACAGCGTATGTCACTCCATTGTGCAGATTAGGATCTGACACCATGTGTGTAAATAAACAACCCAGGTCACCACTGGTCAGTGATACAGTAACATGCTCACCCAGGTCTGCCTGACTCACCAGCTAACACCAAGTCATGGAAGTGTTACCAGCGATCGCACTGCCTGCGCCGTGACCCTGCAGGCCCTGTGATAAGGACTTTAATGCCATTGGTCCAATAAACGTCCCCACAACAACTTGAAGAGCCAGGCTTTGTATTATAATTTCACAGATGAGGAAACTGAGGCTCAGGGGTTGAGTGGGGCCAGGGCCTGGCTCCTTTCTCAGACATTCCTCCAGTTCTAGGTGCCACAGTGAGCTGTGAAAGGTGACCCTTAGATGGCCCTACTCATTGCAAGGTTGGGTGTCTTGTGTGGGTGATGATCTGTAAGGAGGAATGCACCTCATCTGACCCCAGATCACCCAGGGTGACCCCGGAATGGTCCCTTAGATGTCTCTGTAGGATTCATATGGGAAATCTCTTCTCAGTCCATGGGTCCCACATCCTCATCAGGGGAAATTTTCCTCACGTGTTCACATGTCTTCATATTCTAGAATTTTATGATGGTCTGAGTTCATTCTGTGCTGCTATAACAGAATGTCATAGGACTGGAGTTTGGGAAGTCCGAGATCAAGGGCTGCATCTCCTGAGGGCCTCTTGCTGCATCACAGATTGGGAAGACATCCCACGAGGAGGACTTGTGTGAGAGAGAGGAGGGAAGGGGAGAACCTCATCCCTTCATGATGAACCTACATGCTCGCTAACTGGCCCACTCCTGGGTCAGCAGCAGGGCTCTGTTCATGGTGGTAGAGCCCTCAGGATCCACTCACCTTGCACTGGGCACTTCAGATCACTGTTGTGTTTCAACACAAGTTTTTTGGGGAGATACTTTATAAAAGATTAAGTCCCCATTTCTGGTCTATGCTCCCATGTTTCATGGGAAGGATGGACTATGAACAGTAGCCATCTGTGGGGTCAGTGAAACATTTGCTTCCTGTTTAATCATTTATTAGGGGTTGAGGACGGCCCATGTCAGTCATCCTGACCTGAAGGCATGGTGAAGGTATACTCTAAATGATTTGCAAGGAAATGGATTTCCTGTCCCTACCAAGAGAATATCACGATGAAGGAAATCTCTAGAAAGGTGGACACAGTGCTGACAATGGCTGCTCATCCCACCTTCTATCAATATTCACCTCGGCACTGCCTTCCCTCCCACGCAGGGATTCCATAGTGAAGCTCCCTGTTCTCAACGGAAGTGTTTCCTCATGGTTGTCCAGGCAGCTCACATGTGCTGGTGTCCAGAGCGCTGTACAGCTGGGACCTCAGAGTCAGGACACAGCTCAGAGGCATCGTCTATGAGACTCAGTTTCCTCCTTTCCCTACACCTGAGCCAGGGGAGCTCTGGCATTGATTGGGCTCACAATTTAACCAGATTCATGAGCAGACCTCTTGGGGACATTTCTTCACCCCAAACCAACCCATTTCACATGGAATCAGAGCAGAGCCTTCACCTGGTGGGACAGGAACAGAGCTCTGAGCTGCTTGTCCCCCATATGATGGGGTTTCCTCCTCTCATTTGGGGAAAAGCAGTCTGAGTATGTTCCAAAGCTCTGGGTATTAGTTGAAGATGAAGAAGGAGGTAAAAGAAAACACAGAGGTTACAAAAGAAACAGTGAGGTAGTGACAGAAGGAAGTTACTTGACTTTAAGGGCACTTCTTCCATCCTCCTGGCACCCCTGCAAGCCTGGAGCTGGGGGCTCTATGGGTCTTGGAGAATCCCCTTCCCACATTCCAGGCTGGACCCCAGATCTGCCATGAGAAATGAGAGAAGCAAGGAGAGGAGAGAGGCTTTGGGATGGAGCTGGAGGCTCAGGGGAGGCCTGGGATTTGCTTGTGTCTTTGGTCACAGGCTAAGAACTAACTTCTTCCTGTTCTTTCCAGAAAACCCAGGCCTCTACCCCAGAGCTTGGCACTCATGTTCCAGGGATCCACTTACCAAGGACTAGAATATTCTTGACTGTGGTCCTACTGAGGCCAGTGGCAGAGTTGTGGACGAGGCAGGTGTAGGATCCGCTATTATTTGCAGTGACACTGGGGATAAAGAGCTCTTGTGTGAATGACTGGGGCCTCTTATTGAAAAGCCAGGAATACTGTGCAGGTGGGTTAGAGGCTGCATGGCAGGAGAGGCTGACGTTGTCCCCTGGATGGAAATGTGAGACTGGAGGGGATGTGATGGGGGAGTCTGGGCCATCTGGAGGAAAGAGAAAGAAGCCACATGTGATGTCATCAGAGGGAAAAGGAAGCTCCTGAGCTGCAGAAGGCCACAACATCTCTCTGAGCCATGTCACCAACCTTGTTTTTAAAAAGTCTCAATCAGAGCTGGGAATACAGCTCAGTGATAGGGCACTTAACCAGCACGCACGAGGCCCTGGGATTCATCCCAGCACAGCACTCACAGAAAAATACCCCAACTGATCCTCCTCCATTCACTGATGACAAATCTAAGACCTCTCCAGTTTCTCTATCACAGATGGTGACCCCAGCCTCTCTAGGCAGGAGCAACCCTCTACCCCTTTGGCTTAGGGCTGGGCTGCCTGGATAGGCCTGGGGCAGGACAATATGGTCAGTCTAGGTGCCCAGGGATGAGGGACTGTGTACTGGGACCTCAGAGGGACTGAGTGGCGTTGTCTCTGGCCCTGTGTATTGAGGCTGGCAGCCAGGGCCATGGGGAAATAGAGTTACTCACAGAGAACATTCAGGGTGACAGGGTCACTTTGGTTGGCGCTCACTGGGTTCCAGGTTCCACACTCATAGTTTCCAGTGTCATTTCTTGTGACTCTGAGTAAAGTGAGCGTCCTGTTGTCCTTGGACAGCTCTAGCCTGTCACTGTCTGGAGCTCTGCGACCATTTATCCACCACAGGTAGGTTGTGTCTGGAGTCTCAGGCTCACACGTTAGTGCTACAGAGTCCTTGCCCTCCATGGGGCTGGAGTTGTTGCTTGTGATGAAGGGTTTGTCTAACTCCGCTGTGTAGAGAACAAATAAAAGATGTCCTGTGATCACTGAAATCACTGTGATTGCTGCAAAGTCCTTTTTTTCTATCAGTGCCAGCCTCTCTCACCTCCCAGCCAACCTGAGTCCCAGCCAAGAGTACTACAGCAGACGCCTGAGGACCCAAGTGCTCAAAGAATCGGGGCCACCTGTGCTTTTGTGGAAAAGCATAGACTTTTGCATGTGTGAACTAAACTGCAGAGTTTGGTTATAGACAGATCAAGGACCCAAAGTCAGAAACCCTTGGTGGCTCTCCTGGTCCTCACTGGCTCACTGCTTCCCTAGCCTCAGGACCTGTGGGTTCTCAGTTCCTCTACTTGCCCAGACTTCCCCTGCTCAGCCTGGGTTGTGTCCTCTTTGACTTTGCTTTCATGATGTATTTCCCACTGTTCTCAAACCCCAAGAAGTCCCCAGTGTCTGGCCTGAGGATGAGGTGTGTAAGTAGAAGTCACACACAGGAGACCTGCAACAAGTCCAGTATTTGGCTTAGTGGTCATGCTGGGGCCACAAGGTTGGAGAGTTCTGCTCAAGTGTTTGGTGGTGACTGACATAAGCCAGGGACCCCTAAAATTCAAAGTATGACTCCAAAGAATCGTCTAGGTAAGAGTGAGGGGCACAGACAGGCTTTAGAGAAGAATCTTTTCATTCCTTGGTCTTTATTGTCCTCCTCTCCTGTTGTGCAGGTGAGGCCCTATAATCTTAGCTACTCAGGAGGCAGATCAGAGGATCAAGGTTTTAAGCCAGCCCAGGCAAATAGCTCGAGAGACCCCATCTCAAAAATACCCAACACAAAACAGAGCCGGGGGAGTGGTTCAAGTGATAGAGCGCCTGCCTAGCAAGTGTGAGGCCTGCACATATTCTGTACAGGAAGGTCCCCTGCTTTCACTTCTCCCAGCTCCTCATCATTTGGCAACCAGTCACTGTCAGTTTCTCTAGTGCCCAAACAATCACTGGCGGGGGTGGGGGTGGGGACGGGGTATTTCTGCAGCTCTCTCTGATGACCCAGGGCTGCAGTGACAGGCACCATTCTCTCCTGCAGGCCTTGGATGCCTGCGTTCCTTCCTTTCTGTCTCTTTGATGTATTTGGACTGTGAGTGCTTGGCTATTCACTTTCAAAGCTGTGCGGTGACTCTGATTTCTGAATGAAGCTTCATGCCTGGCATCAGCACACAGCCCGATATGGAGTGGCCTGTGGTGAGTGGTTTCAAGGCATCTTCAGAGCCCTGGAGTTGCAAGACTGAGTGGGCAAGCCCAGCTTCCTCAAGGACTTTTTTGTGATACTGGGGTTTGAACTAAGGGCCTACACCTTGAGCCAATCCATCCTTTTTTTTCGCGTGTTTTTTTTTTTTAATTTTTTTTTTTTTCACGTTAGGGTCTCTCAAACTATTTGCCCAGGCTGCTTTCAAACCTTTCTGATCAGCTAGGGTTATAGATGTGAGCCACAGCCACCCAACTCTAAAGATCCTGTTTCAGTTTCTGCTCCAAAGTGGGTACAAATTCACTTTCAAAACCCTTCAGGTGACGTTGGTGTTGACATGGAAGACTCTGCCAACCTGGGACTGGCCAGGACTCTACAAATTCCTTAGGTAATTACCAGATCTGCTCCTTGGCTTCCCATGTCAGGTCCTGAGAGGGGCACCCGGCACCTCCATTGTCTCTGAATTTTCTGGAATTGATTGCTTTTTTTCTGTCATTTCAGGGGACTCTTCATGAGAACCAATGACAGAGGCAGAAGAGTCTTGGGTTAAATCATAAAGTGCCCACCCTCTTCTGTTTGTCCACAACTGGGTTGTGTCTGCCAGCTTCAAGCTGGTACACAGTTCCAGAAGTCTAACACCTAGAACAATATACAGTTGCTCATAGGCTTCCTAACTAAATGAGTGATGAAAAACGTCACTAGCGAAGGGATCCAGAGTCCCAAGACAGTGGAACACCTGCCCCTGCACCCTTCACAACTGGAAAGAAGAAATTCAAATTGCTGTGGCATGGTGACCGCATGCCAGCACCAAAGGCTGCAGCCCAGACACCAGGGCACAAGGCCCTGCTTCAGGCTGAGGGCCTGGGAAGGAGTTAATGCTTTACAGCTTGAAGCTCTTGCTCCTTCATGTTCCAGTTGGAACCCTGGTCCAGCCATCTCCTAGGTCAGATCCCACAGCAAGCCACCGCAGCACAGACACAGTTGCCCAAGAAGAGGCTAGAGACTCAGGGGAAGCCCCATGGCAGTGCACCCCTGCCGTCCGAGGGGATGTTCTCAAACACAGAACTAACTGGCGGAATGTGGAAAGCACCAACTTCCTCAAACGCTGATCCTGATGCCCAGGCTGCCTTCAAACCGTGATTCTTCTGATCAGCTAGGATTATAGATCTGGGGTAGAAACTTGAGAAGGTAAATTTCTTCAGTATGAAGAAAAGAACAAAGAAAAACAAACTTCAATATATCATTAACACATACGATCCAAGACCAATTTTTTTTATTGTTTTATTATTTATATGTGCATACAAAGCTTGGGTCATTTCTCCCCCGGCCCCCACCCCCTCCCTCTCCCCCCACCCCCTCAATACCCGGCAGAAACTATTTTGCCCTTATCTCTAATTTTGTTGTAGAGAGAGTATAAGCAATAATAGGAAGGACAAGGGTTTTTGCTGGTTGAGATAAGGATAGCTATACAGGGCATTGACTCACATTGATTTCCTGTGCGTGGGTGTTACCTTCTAGGTTAATTCTTTTTGATCTAATCTTTTCTTAGTTCCTGGTCCCCTTCTCCTATTGGCCTCAATTGCTTTTAAGGTATCTGATTTAGTTTCTCTGCGTTGAGGGCAACAAATGCTAGCTAATTTTTTAGGTGTCTTACCTATCCTCACCCCTCCCTTGTGTGCTCTCACTTTTATCATGTGCTCAAAGTCCAATCCCATTGTTGTGTTTGCCCTTGATCTAATGTCCACATATGAGGGAGAACATACAATTTTTGGTCTTTTGGGCCAGGCTAACCTCACTCAGAATGATGGTCTCCAATTCCATCCATTTACCAGCGAATGATAACATTTCGTTCTTCTTCATGGCTGCATAAAATTCCATTGTGTATAGATACCACATTTTCTTAATCCATTCGTCAGTGGTGGGGCATCTTGGCTGTTTCCATAACTTGGCTATTGTGAATAGTGCCGCAATAAACATGGGTGTGCAGGTGCCTCTGGAGTAACCTGTGTCACAGTCTTTTGGGTATATCCCCAAGAGTGGTATTACTGGATCAAATGGTAGATCAATGTTTAGATTTTTAAGAAGCCTCCAATTTTTTTTCCAGAGTGGTTGTACTAGTTTACATTCCCACCAACAGTGTAAGAGGGTTCCTTTTTCCCCACATCCTTGCCAACACCTGTTGTTGGTGGTGTTGCTGATGATGGCTATTCTAACAGGGGTGAGGTGGAATCTTAGCTTGGTTTTAATTTGCATTTCCTTTATTGCTAGAGATGGTGAGCATTTTTTCATGTTATTTTTGGCCATTTGAATTTCTTCTTTTGAGAAAGTTCTGTTTAGTTCACTTGCCCATTTCTTTATTGGTTCATTAGTTTTGGGAGAATTTAGTTTTTTAAGTTCCCTATATATTCTGGTTATCAGTCCTTTGTCTGATGTGTAGTTGGCAAATATTTTCTCCCACTCTGAGGGTGATCTCTTCAGTTTAGAGACCATTTCTTTTGATGATCAGAAGCTTTTTAGTTTTATGAGGTCCCATTTACCTATGCTATCTCTTAGTTGCTGTGCTGCTGGGGTTTCGTTGAGAAAGTTCTTGCCTATACCTACTAACTCCAGAGTATTTCCTACTCTTTCCTGTATCAACTTTAGAGTTTGTGGTCTGATATTAAGATCCTTGATCCATTTTGAGTTAATATTGGTATAGGGTGATATACATGGATCTAGTTTCAGTTTTTTGCAGACTGCTAACCAGTTTTCCCAGCAGTTTTTGTTGAAGAGGCTGTCTTTTCTCCATCATATATTTTTAGCTCCTTTGCCAAGACCAATTTTTTAAAGGACTATTTCTCCCGAGAGCACCCAAGGTCTCACTGTGAGCTCTGAGGCCCCGTGGGTCACATTATAATCAAAGGCAAGTATTAAAGTTTATTTGAAATCAGCTCTCTGCGTAGAGAGAACTGTAAGTCCTGTGGGGGGACAGAACTGGTCAGAGGGGACCTCTCTGATGTGGCTAAATGAAAAGAGGAAAATGTCACATTTGGAGAAGTGTTATAGGTCATGTTAGTAAATTAGAGGAAGGTCCAGGTCCCCAACTGCTGTGGAGTCAGGCAAGGTGGGAGGAGCCCGACACAGGTGTGTGAAATGCTTTCTTTCTTCTCTTTTTGACCCTGGGAATTGCAGCTAGAGTTGTATCAAATTCTTCCAAATGAGGCAGGGACTGATTGTAATGATGGTGGTTGGTACATCTCACCTTGTGGGAGGTCCCATCTTGTGACAATGGTGTCACTAGGGGACAGAGGTGGTGTGGGATATGCAATAAGCCCATCAGACGGCACCAGTGGAACCACTTCCCCCTTGGGGAGGCTTCTTCCCAGGAACCCGTGGAGGACTGCGAGCCCCACGCTGGGACCAGGATGAAGTCAGTAGTAAAATCATGGAGGGGCCTGGCGCTCTGGGGCCTGCAGTTCCGTTCTTCAGATTGGACAGAGGAGCTGCTCATCCCTGCCTCATGGCCACCTCCAGGTGTCACTGGCATGGAGGAAAGAGCCCTGGACAGGGACACAGCAGAGGCTCCTACACAGTGAGGGACATTGGAGCCTCACATGGGCAGCTTCTCTGACTGATTTCTGTGCCCTTTACTATTGTCCTGGAAGGTAGGCTTGGCCCAAGGTGTTAGCAGGAAGGGGACAGGACAGTCAGCCATTAGCCTGGGGAAGGTAAGGGGGCAGCAAGTTGGGCTGGGCAAGGGCAGTCTCACCTGAATGAGAGGGAAGGAAGATGAGGGGCAGGGAGGCATCAGAGAGAACCCAAAACACACACGACAGCAATAGAGGTTACAGTGACTGCAAAGGCTAAGAGCCTAAGAGGCCATAGACTCAAGACTGAACTAGCCCAACCGTGAACCCTCCCCCAGCTCAGTTGCCAAGGGTCATCGTGTGATGTGACTCTTGGGGTAGCCATAAAAGCAAATGGTCAGAGGGATGGAACAAGGATCTCAGCTTCCAGGAGTGACAGGGCGCAAAGTATAGGCAGAACCTTCTAGGACTCTGCATGGAGGCTCTAGTCTCTGAAGAGGTTCTCAGCCATCCATCCATCCATCCATCCATTTATCCATCCATCCATTTATCCATCCATCTATCCACTCACTCACTGTTCATTCCTTCCCTCCTGCATCAAGAGACAGTTGAGAGTTGGCTATACATTGGGCCCTGCGCTGGTTGCAGGGCACAGTGGGGAGTGAGAAAACAAAGTCCTCTTCTCTGCCCTCCAGGGGAGTGACAGCCAGAGCTCCGGGAAACACCATCAAGTCCACCCAGGAAGAGTGTGGCTCTGTTGCCTGAGTGGAAAGGCCCCGACATTCGACTAATTGTCTGTCTGCTCTCCCTCCCCAGCCCAGACTCCTCCTCCCTCCAAGCTGCTAAACTCTGAGATGAAAGCACCTGAGCCACCCGCTCCTCTCTGGGCCCAGACCCTAATGTGGCCTCCAGGGAGGAGGGGGCGGCTGTGTCTGGACACAGACACCCTGGGCCTCTGACCTGCCACCATTGCTCTGTGAGACCCTCATTCAGCGACTTTATTTCTGTGCCTCAGTTTCCCTTCCACAGGACACATGGCAAATAGTATCTGGCTAGCACACTGCCTGTGAATTACCCTAGAAATGATCACAGTCACTGAGCTTAGTCCAGAGGAGCCCCACATCAACAGCACCTCCTCCCCTCTGGGACACTGGCCTTCCTGTGGAGGCTCACAGCTCATCAGGACATTTGGCTAATGGCCTGGGGCAGCTGTCCACCTGTGCTGTCACACCGAGTCTCAGGAGAGGGGAGGCCCAGATGTTCTTGCCCAGATGTGGCTCTCAGGGCAGTGCACCTCCTGGTGCCCACTTCCCAGAGCTACAAGATTCAGACAGGCCGGAAATCACAGCTCCTTGTCAGCCCAAATAGGAGGCCAAATTCCAACCCTGACCCCAAGTTTCCCCGGGTCATCTGGAATCAGGAGTCAGAGACAGGTTTGGTGCAGGGACTTCCAGTGTTGAGATTGTCTGTGAGGATCCATGCAGGCCTCCTCAGCCAAGCCCTGCCAGAGTGCTACTTGGTCTTTCTCAGGGCCACATTGGTGGCAAGGGCCATAGGGGCCCTGTCAGACAATCCTCTCTGCAGGGTGGATTCACTTGAGAATTCTGATCTGTTGAAGTTTGTCTCCACTGTGTGCGTCCTGCACTCAATGCTCAAACCCCAACCAGGGACACAGTATAGAGGAGAGGTTGTAACAGTGCAGGTCTGGCAGACTTGTATGTGTGGAGTGGAATTAACCCAACCCAGCACCCAGAGGTCAAAGAGAATCACTCACCGTACACATGGAGCTGCACAGATGCAAGTTCTTCATGAAGATCCATAGTTAAGGTTCGTAGGGTGTAGAATCCCGTGTCCTTCTTGGTGACATTCTGGAACAGCAGGGATGCATCAGGGTATATCTTCTCTCTACCGCTGTACACAGACCCTGGCCGAGTGTGTTGAGTGGCTATCACATACAGTGCAATTAGCTGGCTCTCGACTGCACGTTTCCCTTTGTACCAGTAATATGCTCGAAGGTTCTCTGGAGAATTGTGGACACGTAGAAGAACGTCACTGCCTTCTGCAGCATCAGCTGGCACTGATTCAATGGTGACTTGGGCAGTGGTGGGCAAGTTCCAGAAGGTTAAAAGTGAGACTAAGAGGGAAGAGAGAGAAATCCATTAGTATTGTGACCTCCATATTGGATGGACCTCTGCATTGGGCCCTGATCAGGTGTCTCTCCCCCAGTCTGGCAGAGTACGTGTGCTTGCTGTGTGTGTGTGTGGAGCATGAGTGTCTCCTAGGGCACTGGTCAGCAGCGTGACCTCCATTCCTTCACTGCCCCTAACCTTGTCACTTCCTCTGTGTGGAACACTCTTCCCAGATGTCTGCACGGTTCACCCTTCTTCTCCCTCACATCCCTGCTCACACTCATGCACCCTGGGGAGATGCCTTCCATGACACCCTGGGTCTTCACTTTCTCACCTCTCCCTGCTCTGTCCCTGTGGCTCTTGTCACTCCCTGACCTCACCTTCTGGATGTCCTTGCTGCACGGTTCTCTGCCACTAGAAGGAGAGCTGTGTGGGAACCAGGCCTGCTCTGATCTTTGTTGTAACCCAGTGCCTGGAGCAGGCTCAGGTTCCTGTGGGTGAGGAACTAGCGTTCCCAGGGCCCTGCATATACAGTTTTTTTTGTTGTGTTTTGTTTTTGTTTCTGAGATCGGTGGCTAAGGACAATGTTTAATGTCCCAGTTGTTTTTTAATTTGGAGAGTCACCCTAACATAGTTGCTGACATCAACTTTCAAAATATAGTGGCCAGTGATGACTAATTGACATCAACTCCTTCCCCCCTTGCTAATTCCAGCTCACTAAGAGTTTCCTGTGGCTGAGCCTTTGTCCCTCTTTGCGTCTTCTTCCTTCAGGCTATAAACAAAAGCCCTGTGTCTCCTCTCATGGTCTTGTCCTTCCAAGAAAACTCCAGTGAGTATTTGCCCCCCCACTCCTGCCCACTCTCAGGAAATCATCACCTCACCTGTGAGCAGGAGCCCTTGCCAGGGGATGTGGACTCTGTGGGGAGTGGCCAAGGGTGGCTCCATGGTGTCTGCCACCTGCTCTCCCTCTCTGGAGAAGAGCTCAACTCCAGTACAGTTCCCAAGCAGGACCGCCCAAGGGGACAGCTCTCCTGACCTTTCTCCTGCTGAGCTGATCCCCCCAAGATAGAAGCTCTTCCCAGATCACATGGACTGAGATGGGTTGTGCCCAGGAATCCCTTATGTCCCCTCTGTCGTCAGTCCTGCCTCCTGTCCTTCCCCTTCCTTTTTGTTAGGTTTCTGTCACCTGATCACACTATGAGAAGTAATACTGATGGGTTCCCCTGTCTTCCTCACCCCAACAGTGAACTCTGCTCTGTCCTGGTCTTGGGGCATTAGCACTACACAGGGAGCCCCATGGGTGTCCAATCTCAGGGAATGTTTCCTTTTGTGACACAAAAACCCAGCTGGGCACCTGGTCTTCCCCATGTTCTGGAAGAAATGCACTGGAAAGGTAGAATTGACCCAAGCAGGAAGGTGACAGATGAGGCTCTGGGGGCAGGAAAGGGGCCAGCTGAATGATGACTGTTGAGGGGGACCTGTCCTTTATGTCTGTGTCACCATTCTGGTCTGGTGGAGGATCTAGGGACAGAGACCTAAGAGCAGTTGCCTCAGAAGGAGCTCCAGGTGCTGGGTGTGTACCTTCAGATTACCTGTGTGTCCTGGAAGAGAGGACTGTGGTGGTTGGTGAGAATTTGGGTGGCCATCGGCTCCATGTCCTCAGGGGGAGTTGTCCGGGGGGAGTCTTCCTCTCTCTGTGTGGGCTGAGCTGTGATTCAGTTCTGTCCGTGACCTCTCTGACTGTTCTGAGTGGACTCTGTCCTCTGCCCAGCTGACTCTTCTGGGGTCACCCTGCTTTCCTCATGGGTGATGCCAGGAGGGAGGGGGCTGCACAGGGACACCTGGCAGAGCAGAGTCCCCGAAGGCCCAGGAATGAACGGGCAGGACAGGGCACACACGTGGGAGGGACCCGGTAGAGTCTGTTGGAGCAAGGGATGGAAGTCAGGCTGCATCTCCCCCTGCTGAGTCAAAGCCAAGTTCATGTCTCAGGGGTTTAAATGCTGAGTGTTGCCTGTGTGCTCTGACGTCGCCCCCTGGAGGTCATGAAGAGACCTGCGGCCAGAGTCTGACTGCAGATGGGATGGTGATCGGACTCCAAAAGATGGGCACAAGTGGGCTGTGACCACTGCAGAGATGGTCATTCTGAGTCCTGTTCTCTGCAGGCCCCCAGGCTGCCTGACTCCATCCGGTGCAAAGTGAGCTACGGACAGTACAGGCATTGTCCTGGGGCCCCTGACCCAGAGGCAGGAGAACTGTGGACCCAGGGGATTAGTGGCCTCAGGAGGAGCCATGTGTCCCCGAGGCTTCAGGAAAAAGTCCAGGGAAGTGTCTCCTGAGACTTCAGGGAGAGAGCAGCAGCCTGGGGTAGAGCCCACAGTTGGCTGTTGAGACTCTGCGTCCTTGGATTTTCAGGATGGATCCGAAGATTATCTGACTAGGGTGAGTGTATTCCATACTTCTTCCCTAAACATTGTGAACAATTATTTAAAATATACTAGATGTATAAAATATATAGCATGAAATATGCTATTTTAGCCACTTAAGTATATGAATAAATGCTATTAATTACATTGAAGTGTACAACAATTACTATTATTTCTAGAATTTCTTATCACCAGAACAAAAGCTCCATAGTTATTAAGCAGTAACTCCTCATGACCCCCTCCCCCAGCTGCCAGTAACCTGGAATCTACTTCCTGTCTATGTATTTGTATATTCTGGCTATTAAGTGGAATTATACAATGAATGTCATTTATTTTAGCACATTTATTTAGCACATGTAGCATGCATTGGAACTTTATTTTCTCATGGCTGGTTAATATGGAGATATCCGTTTGATTATCTGGGTATGTGTTGATGGACACAGGGGTGTTGCACAGATTGTATGTTGTGAAGGTGGCTGCAGTGACACTGGACTGCAAATGTCACTTGTTACTGAGTTTGTACCCAGCAGTGGGACACTGGGCACAGGTCACCCTGAGGCCCTGCTAGGCACTGCCTAAGTGTTTCCCACAGTGCCTGCAGCGTTTCCTGTTCCCCAAATGAAGCACGGAGGCCGATTTTCCACACCTTCCCAGGCTCGTTAGTAACTTTGTTAAAAACTGTTACACAAACGCTGTGGTGTGCAGGAGAGCTCACTGTCACTTTGATTCGAATTTCCATTGTGATCTGTGACACTGAGCGTCTATTCCTCTACTTACAGTCCATTTGTACATCTTCTTTGCAGACAAGGCTGTTCAAGTCCTCTGCCCATTTAAAAGTTAGGTTCTTCTGTTGTTGCTGAGTTGTACACTTTGTTATGCATCATAAACACCAAACTCAGCTGGGCGCTGGTGGCTCACACCTGTAATCCTCGCTACAAGGGAGGCAGAGATGGGGAGGATCACAGTTCAAGGCCACCTCAGGCAAATAGTTCTCGAGACCCCATCTCCAAAATAGCCAGAGCAAAATGGACTGGAGGTGTGGCTCAAGTGGTAGAGCGCCTGCTTTGAGAAAACCTGCTTTCTAAGCACAAAGCCTTGTGTTCAAACCCCAGTCCCACAAAAACAAACATGAAACAAATATGATTTTCAAACACTTCTCCCATTTGGAAGGATTTTTTTTTTTTTTACTTTCTTGGTAATATCCTCTGATACACAAAAGTTTCTAATCTTGATAAAATAAAGCTTCCCTATTTTTCTTCTGTGGTTTATACTTTTGTGATATCTTTGGGAATCCATTACCAAATTCAAGGTCATGAAGATTTATGTTTTGTTCCAAGAGTTTTTGTAGCATTGTTATCTCGCTGATTTGAGTTAATTTTTTTTTTTAAAGAAAAAGAGGTTTCCTTTACTCAGAGTTGTGGGGGTAAAAGCACAAACAGCATAGTGCAGGCTCCAAGAGCGTGAACTTTTTTATATCACCTCGTGACATGGGTAGTCATGGTGAAAGTGTGTGAAGGAACAACCAAGGAGGGACGTATGCATCGGCAGCAGAAGAGAGAAGCCGGCTTCCACGTTCCTTTCTGACAGTGTGCCTCCAGTGACCTGAGGACCCATCACTGGACCTCAGCACTCAAGTTATCCACTTCTCAATCCACCAGAGTGTACCCCAAGCCTTCATTCCCAGTGGACCCCGGGGTCACCTGAAACCTATGCAAACCGCACCATTAACCTTGATCACTGGAATATTTTGGTCTTTCCTTAAATTATTTCCTCTATTTAAGAAGGGAGGGAAGATTTTTTTTCCTGTTGATGTCGTGGATTTTTTTCCTGTCAATAACAACCCCCAGTTCTACGCCATGTGATACTCTCGTTATCCATGTTGGAGAGGGTCGGCGTCCTGAGATTTGAAATATCTCCCACAGCTGAGAGATCAACATCATCTTCTATGTCATCTTCTGCTATCTACTAAGGTTCCTTACAATGTACATTTCTCTGGGCCGTGTGCTCTGTGATATCACAATGACAAGTGGCAGAGTGAGAGGCCGAGTGTGTCCTGTAACTGGGATGAGACACTGAGTCCGGGTTTCCTCTCCCAGAGCACTGGTGATTTTCAATCCAACTATTGATCCATGACACTACTACATGGAGGATTGCGGGTAACTTTTAATTATCTTTGTCCCAAATGTCCAAAAATGTTCAGAACCAGAAGTGGTTCTGAAGTCATGGGAATCTAGGACTCTGGTGACACACAGAGGATGGGACACCTACCTGGGAGGGGTCCTTCAGTGCAGCTTCCACCATGGGATTCTGTGGGCAGAACAGGGACCAGGGCACTGCTGAGCCTCAGGCCCGCCTGTGTGGCTGGGACAATAGATGTGGAGAGACACATTTCCATCTCAGACTCCGCAGAGCCCTTCCAAAGTATCCAGATGCTGCTGGTCACAGTGATGGCCCCAGGTAGAGCACTGAAGGAAACTGTCCCTGAGAACATGTTCCTCAAAATCACACACAGAGAGGGGCTCCTCTCGGATTTGTGACAATCTTAGGATGGGCAAAGGACAAAATTAGAGGTCAGACCACAATGCATGGTGTGCACACCTGTAATCCCAGTTACTCAGAGGGCTGAGGCAAAGGATTGCAAGGTGAAGAACAGCCTGGGATGTCTCAAAATATTAAAATAAGTGTTGTGGGGTAGGAAGACAACACTTGCCTAGCATAGCTGAGGCCTTGGATTCGATTCCAACCTCTCCCACACTCACCAGGACAAAAAGGAATGAGCTCACAGTCACTGAGCTTGGTCTAGAGGAGCCTCACATCAACAGCACCTCCTCCCCTCTGGGACACTGGCCTTCCTGTGGAGGCTCACATCTCATCAGGACATTTGGCTAATGGCCTGGGGCAGCTGTCCACCTGTGCTGTCACACCGAGTCTCAGGAGAGGGGAGGCCCAGATGTTCTTGCCCAGAAGTGGCTCTCAGGGCAGTGCACCCGCTGGTGACCAGTTCCCAGAGCTACAAGATTCAGACAGGCAGGAAATCACGGCTCCTTGTCAGCCCAAATAGGAGGCCAAATTCCAACTCTGGCCCCAAGTTTCTCCGGGTCATCTGGAGTCAGAAATCAGAGACAGAGGTTTGGTGCAGGGACTTCCAGTGTTGAGATTGTCTGTGAGGATCCATGGGGCCCTCACAGAGGGCTCCGAGCTGATAGCCGAGGATATGGTGTAAGTCATTGTGTTTGCTTCTGATGCCTGCCTGGCACTGTCCAGATCCTGCAGGTCCCCTGAGGGGTGTGTGTGTGTGTGTGTGTGGTTTGCTGGTCTAGGAGGGCGAGGCCTATAGGGGCTGGTGCAGGTATGCAGGGTAGACATGTTTGGGGCTTTGAAGTTCACCTTGATATGATTCAGCCATTAGCAGGTATGCCTGGGAGCATCCCTGTAGGGTGACGGTGAGGTCCCAAAGCAGGAGAGAACGTGTGCTTTCGGGGCTTCTTACTGTGTTAGGCTCCGAGTGTCCCTCTTGCCATAGAAGTCTTGTGTCTCTTATTCACACCAGCCTTCAAGAAGACACTCTCATGTAGGCTGAGGTTTCGTGGGATCTGCAGCTGTGAGTGGGAACCTCCCTCAACACTGTCCCTTCACTCATTGGTCTCCCCTGATCCAAGGTGTCAGCTTGACACCTGTGCTGTCCAAACCCTTCCCCTCCCAACTCTGCCCAGGACCATGAGGACAGACGCACTGTGTGCATGCATGTCATCTGTGTTGTTACCACTCACATGGCCGTCCTGCAGTCTGCTCCTTTGCTTTCAGATGCAGCTTCCACCGACTTCCAGCTGGGGGAGAACAAGAGCTGCTGACACCTAGTGAGGATCACTGGTTCACCTGCCCCACACATGATCACAGCCCCCCCCCCCCCGTGGGATCACAGATTACCCCATTAGACATGGCTCAACTCAAACCAACTTGGTGTTGTTTGGGACCTGGTTGAATAAGACCTTAAGCCAACAATAATGGCAATACCAGTTCAAGGCTATTTGCATTTATTGATTCAATACACATTTGGATACCAGGACTTTCTACCTCATTTCACCGATTATTCACAAAAGCTTTATAAAGTCAGAGAATCACAACCACTGATTGGAAAAGGAGAAAAACCTGATTTAGGGTTTAACTCATAGGAGGGGCTGAATCACTCACAGCTACTGGCCAGTAAAAAGGGGTCACTCTTGCTGGAAAAGGCCAAATTGGAGACCTCACACTGATACCCCCAGCGTCCTCTCTCCTGACGGGGTCTATGCTGAGGTTTCTGTTGTCCTGAGATGGCATCATCTTCTCTGTGAGCAGCCGGCTCTGGCCATTGAAGGTCTATCGAATGGAGATTCCAGTGTCAGCTGAGAGGCAGGTCAGGACCACGGATTCCTATTTTGTGACTGTGCTGTTGGTGGCTTGGATGGAAGGCCATGTCACTGGCTCTGTGGACAAACAGGAGGAGACTGATTGAGTGTGTTCTGAGGCCTGGACCACGCTCCTTCCTCAGAGATCTCAGGCAGCTCTCAGGGACACAGTGAGCTATGTAAGGTGGCAGAGGATGGGCCCAGCCCTCTGAGGAAGTTGTGTGTCTTTGTTGAAGTGACATCTGTGGGGAGAGGCTGCGGCATCCACTCAGATCACTCAGTGACCCCTGACTGGTCCCCTGGATCTCTCTTTGGAATCCACACCAGGAACTGTTTCTCAGCTCATGTGTTCAGCATTGTCAGGTAGAATTTCTTTCCTAGAACCTTCTGTGTGATCCTTTTATAAACCTTTTGTGATGTTATAAAATATTAAACCCTGTGCCTCACATGTCCTTCTGTGTATGTTAAATGACAGCTTGCTTGGCAGCCCTGTCGTCTCTGGGGTGAGGGAAGATTTACATAAATGAGGAAGACGTTCCCTCTTTGTTAAATCAATTATTAGGGAACAAAGGCAGCTCAACTAGTTCTCATAACTTTAGTAGCTGGAGAGGTTCCAATCTAAGGATTTCTCAATCTTATAGGACTTTCACTTCCTGGCCTGTGAATTGGTCACAGTGAAGGAAACACCATAGAGAGAAGTGCTCACATTTTTAACAAAAGACTGGCATCCCCAGGCATCCAGGGAAGTCATATCAACACCAAGAAAGGTCATATGTGAGAAGCTGACAGTGTTGTCATACTACTCAGTGGTGAAACACTGAAAGCTTTTACTCTAAGACCAGGAACAAGACAAGGTGCTGCTTTCACCACTTTTATTCAACATAAGACTGGAAGTCCCAGTCAGACAATTAGATGAAGAAAAAAAGTAAAAATTATCTAAAGTGGTAAAAAGAAGAAAAACTCTCTCTGTACACACACAACATGATTTTCTGTAGAACACCCAGAAATCCTACCAAATAATTACTAGAACTAATAAATTTAGCAGTTTCAGTATACAAAGCTAACACCCTAAAAATCATTTGTACTTCTATACACTAGCAACAATGACAAAATGAAATGAAGAAACAATTCTGCTTATCAAGAAGAATAAAACCTTTAGGAATAAACTTAAATTAAGGAGGCAAACATACTCATAATCTAAAGACTACATAACATTGTTGAAAGAAGAGCAGGCAGACACAAACAGATGAAAGGTACTCTATGGTCGTGGATTGAAATACTGGTTATTGCTAAGATGCCAGGACTAACCAAAGCAATCTAAAGATCTAAAGATGACTTTTTTCTTGCAGAAATAGAAAAATCCATCCTAAACTTCCATAGGAATGTCAAGGGGCTGTGAATAGACAAAACAATATGAAAAAGGAGAACACAGACGGAGGTCTCACACTCGCTGGTTTCAAAGGCACTGCAAGGCTGTAGGAAGTCAAAATACTATTGCGCTGACACAAATATAGACATGTAGAAAAGTCTAGCAGACTAGAGCTCCCCAAATAAATGCTTGCTTTGATGATCAAAGGATTTTAATGAGGGCACCAAGACTATTTAATGAGGGAAAGGACAAATGCTGTTGGAAAACTGGCTATCCACATTCAAAGACTGAAGTTACACCCCACATATAAAAATTAATCCAAACTAAATCACAGATCTAAACATAAGGCCTAAAATTATAAAACTCTTAGAAGAAAATACAGAGGAAAAACTCTATGACAGTGAAATTGAGAAGAAATTGTGGATATGATTGCACATGCAAAAAAAAAGAAAAAGATAAAATGGTTTTCATTAAAATCAAAGTTTTCTGTTCATCAAATAGAGTGAAAGACAAGCTACAAAATAAGAGAAAACATTTGCAAGTCCTATATGTGATAGAGGGTTGATATACAGAATATTCCTGCAACTCAAGGACTATAAAACCAAAACAACACAACTAAAAATAGGTGAATGGCTAAAATCGATTTTTTTTCCAAGGAATATATACAAACAAATGGTGACATACAGGGAAAGATCTCAACATCGTTAATTGCTAGGGAGTGAGATCAGAGCCATAGTGATCTGCCTCTGCATCAATCAGGATGGCTGCTATGAAAACAGCAATGACCTCAACATTAAACAGCCAAGGCTGGGGAGAATGTGGAACAGTTGGGACACTTGCAAGACAGGAGCTCTACCAGTGAGCTACACCTCCACCTCAAGACTGTTAAATGAAATGTGGCCTCCTGGACCACATACATTGGGAAAATCTGAAATAGAACTTCAAGAAGCATGAGTGGATGTTATTCTTACTACCCAACGGTCTGATCTGTTGCTGGCAGGAATATTACTCTAGAAAACAGTGAAAGGTCTGTCACATGGGTCTTGGGCTCCTGTGGGGTGAGGGGTCATGGATCCTGTATGGCCAGAGTTCCTAAGAATTTGAACCACATCCCAGTCTCTGAAGGGATTGGGATTATTTGTTCATTCCCCCTCCTTCAAGAGACACTGAAATTGGTTAAATTTGTGTTGTGATGTGTACAGGGTACAGAGGGGGAGGGAGGAACTTAAGCCTTTTCCTCCCACTATGGAGCTGTGGAAGAGCAGAACCAACAACCCTTCTTGGGGTCCTTGGACACCTAATGATGCCTTGAGGGTGGAGGGGAGGATGGGGCTATGGTGGCAGACAGACCTGGTTTGACTCTGATTTGCAAGCATGGACTGTGTGACCTTCAATCAGTGACTCTGTGGCATTGTTCCTAAGTTTCCCCTCAATGAAGCAGGATAAGTGATTATCGGCTTCAGGTTATGTGTAAGTTAACCTTAGAAGAGTTGTGACACCTGACCGAAAGTTTGAGGAGCACTCAAATAGTTGGCATCTATTATTTTTTGAACCCTGGGGGAGTTAGTGGCCTGCAGCATCTGTCCGTGTGTTCTGTCCTTGATGAATCTCAGGCCAAGGGCTCTCTGTGCTCTGCTTTGCTCAGATATGGTGTTAGGGAGCTCAGCCCTACCTAGGGCACAATCTAGGAATCTTGGGACTTGGCAAGTAATCAGTCTTTGCCCCCTGTGAGCTCTGCCTAGGGGGTCAAGACCCAACCCACAGGCCCCATGGTCATCTGGATTCAGGAGCCTGAGACCAAAGAGTGGGGCAGGGCTTCCCAGAACTGAGCTTGTCTGTGAGGATTGCAGGGCACTGACTTAGCATGGAGAGCATAAGGGCCTAGGGGGGTCATTCTCAGGGGCACATTCATGGGGAGGGATGTGGGGGGTGGGCTGGGATGAGCTCCCTGCACTGAGTTACCCATCAGACCATCGTTCTCTCTGCAGTCAATGTCAGAAAGTAATTTGGATCTATAGGTGTTTGTTCCAATGTGTGCATCCTGCCCCTGATGTTCAGACCCCAACGTGGGATATAATGCAGGAAGGGGAGAAGTAGGCACAGTGACAGTCCTCACCACCCAGAGGTCACAGAGAACCACTCAGTACACACGGAGCTCTCCAGATGCTTGTTGAGCCCAGAGAGCCCTCGTTAAGGCTCATAGGGTGTAGAATCCTGCGTCCTCCTGCTTGACGTTCTGGACAAGCAGGGATCCATTGGGGTATCTCGTCTCCCGACCACTGTATTTGGGCCCTGGGGCGATTCTGTGAGGGTCCATTATACGTACTGCAATTTGATGGCTGTCCAATCCTGCTGCCCCTTTGTGCCAGCTATAACTTCTAACGTTCTCTGGTCGATTGCGGACACGTAGAAGAACATCACTCCCTTTAGCAGCATGGGCTGGCACCGATTCAATAGTGAGTTAAGCAGTGGTCAGTGGGTTCCAGAAGGTTAAAAGGGAGGCTAGGAAGGAGGAAAGAAAAATTCATCAATGTCAAGACCTTTATAGTATTGGAGTGAAAGATGAAGCCCTGCATCCTGAGAAGGTGTCTGCATCCCTAGCACTGGGGTGTGTCTGTGTGTCTGTGTGTCTGTGTGTCTGTGTGTGTACACACACTAGCATCTTCAACCCTCCATTCCTTCACTGCTCCTGAACGTGTCACTTCCTCTTTGTGGATACTCTTTTCAGGTGTCTGCACAGCTCACCCCTCGCTGTCCTCACATCTCTGCTCACACTCAGGGCATCCTGGGAGCTCCATGAGGACAGGGCCTGGTCTGATCTTTGTTGTAACCCAGTGCCTGGAACAGGCTCAGGTTCCTGTGGGTGAATGAACCATGTTCCCAGAACTCTGCATGTCCAGGGGTTATTTTCCAACTTCTGAGATTGGTGGCTAAGGACAGGATTAATGCCCAGTGCTGTTTTTCTTCGAGAGTCACCTGAGGTAGTTGTCAACATCAATTTTCAAAATGTAGTGGCCAGTGAAGATTAACTTGGAATAGGGAAAACTCAAGCTTTTCCTTCTCCTTAACAATTCCAGTCCAGTGAGAATTTCCTGTGCCTGAGCCTTTGTCCCTCTTTCTTTCCTGTCAACTCAGGCTTGAAACAGAAGCCCTGTGTCCCTTCTCAGGGTCTTGAACACCTCCAGAAGACCCCAGCCAGTGTCTGTGCTCTTCTCCTTCTACCCACTCCCAGGGAATCATCTCCTCACCTGTGAGCAGGAGCCCCTGCCAGGGGACATGCCCTCTGTGGGAAGGGGCTGAGGGGGTCTCCATGATGTCTGCTGCCTTCTCTGTCCCCCCTATGTGGTGAACAGTTTCAGCTTCAGAACCAAAGCAGGGCTGCTCGGGGGTCACCTCTGCTGTCTTTCCTCCCTCTGAGCTGAGCCTCCACCTAGGGCGGGAGCACTGCCCAGGTTCACATGGTGTGGAGGCGGGGTCTGTGTCCAGGATACCTCTCTGTCCCCTCCCTTCTCAGTCCTGCCTCCTGTCCTCTCCTTTCCTTTGCCTTAGGTTTCAGCCCCTGCCCTCCCACCCCCCACCCCCACCCCCCACCACCCTGCACCGACCACACTGTGAGAAGCAAGGCTTAAGAAGGGAGGCAGTTAATTACGGCTGAGAGAGGGGCGGGAGGGACAGTGTGGGGACACCAGGGCCTGTGCTGGTCCTATGGAGAAACCTCCCCCCCGCTTCTTAAGGGCCCCTTTGACTGAGACCTGAACTATTGGACATTCCCCTGGGAAGGACTAAGGATACAGGGAGCAGAGCTGCCTGCACAGGATGGCCTTCAGGGTGGAGTGGACAGAGGCCATGGAGGTGAGGACTGGAGAACAAGGGGGATGTAGGCTGAGGCCTAGCTGGAGAGGGTCAGGCCCTGCTGGACTGTGGGCACTGATAAAAGGTCAGCAGCCCAGGCTGCCGCCCTCTGGTGGACAGTGAGGAAAGTGCAGACAGCCGACACAGGAAAAGGAATTTATGCAACTTCATCCTTAAGCATTTATCAAATTCACACATAATTTTAACAGTGAGTCACGATCTGTCTGTAATTTTCAACATCCCAACTAAACTCTTTTCTGAGCTTCTCATTGGTTGTCATAAACCCAGGCCTGTGGTCTGTGTTGGGCCAAGCTGTGTCTGCAGTACTGGGGACTCCAGGGCTTGGCTGGAGTGAATGTGAAGAGGAGAGGGGCAGGATGAATGTCCCTGTGTCCTCACGTGAGCCACAGCGCTCCACCCCTCCCCCACCCCAGTGACCTCAGAGCCATCTGAGTCCTGAAACCAGGGCTGGTGAGGGGCTCTCAGCCTCCTCCTCCTGCTCTGGGGCTTCTCCATCCTCTCCATCCCCAGGGCGTCTGGGCCTCACTGTATCTGGGAACGCGTGGATCCTCTCAGACCCCATCGGGGACTCCCTTACAGAGGACCAGGTCAGAGGCATCATCACACCTCATAACCTCCCCACCCCCCCAGAAGCACAGGAATTGCTCTGGATTCTGCTTGAAATCAGGGTCCTTTTGCTCTGCGTTTCCTGTCAGAGCCATCCAAGTTGGGAGAGATCATGTTGAGCACCCCTCCCCCAGCCATGCATAATCTAGCTCTTAGTGGGCTGTGACTCACACTATCCTCCCTATGCAGGGGACTCAAGAGGTGTCCCAGGATGGGGACAGAAGGGTCATTGGCTCCCATCAGCTTGCAATCAACTATCCTGGGTGAGGTTATGACAGGATTTGCTAAGGATGTCTGAGCTCCCACACCAAAAGCAGATGATGCCAGGTTCACGTGACTCAGTGTACTGTGTCTCTCTGTGCTCTGACTTGCATCCTTACCTGGACAGAAGAGGTGTCAGGAAGGATGCAAGGAGTCCATCTTCTCCATGGCCTTGGGAGCATCTCTAATGGGCAATTTGGGCCAGAGTGACTGAATTATCAGGAATTCACAGGACTCTTTCACCTTCTGAGTTATCCTTACGTTTGTTTCTGTTTATTTTCACCTGAGATGTAAAGGAATGAGGGATGTGTTCCCACCTTCCCTGACTGTCTTGCTGACAGCATTTGGTGTCTTGTTTGGTGGCAATGAAATACCATCTGCAGAAAGTGGAGTGTTTGTAAATTAACAAGTGATGGTGTTTGAGGTTTGTTCACCTATCCACACCCAGATGTTGGAGCCTTACATCTGGGGTAACCATGTGGGTTTGGTGTTGCCCACAGGAAAAAAAGGTGATCAGAAAGAAATGCTTGCTGGAAGTGTGGGGTTTTCTTTTTATTTCCTTTTTTATTTTCCTATTTTATTTCCCTGGGTTGACACAGGGTGACAACCATGCAGAGCAGTGATGCAGGGACTGCTTTGCCTCTTCCTTTCTTTAACTACTGTTTAATCACTCTGCAATCTGGCCTCAGCCATGAGCCCCTCTCCCTGGATACACTCAGGGGAAAGTTGAGGACCAGGAAGCACAGTGTGACTTGTGCAGGATGGGGTGTGTCAGGTGAGGTGTGAGGTGTCTCCGAGGGGCTCAGGGTTTTGTTCTCAAAGCAGACTGATAGTAGGCTTGGGCTCCTGGAAGGAGGAGAGGCCACCCCAGCAATGACCCAGCAGCTGGAACCTGCCTTCCTGGAGAAAGAGCAGCAAGGAAGTTAGGGAGCAAAGCAGCCTGGGATTGACCTTGGAAGCCAGGTTGTGAGATGTGTTGTGTGTCTGTCCCTGTCACAGACATGAGGAGGGGAGGCCTCAGAGGGGTTCTTGATGGTGGAATGTTCTAGTGCCTGCTGATTCCCCCAGTGCTTCTTCCTGCAGGGGCTCAGTGTGGATCTGAGGTGGTCTGCAGAAGGGACTGGGGGTCCCAGGAAGCCTGTGGGGACCACAGATCTCTAGGGAGGCAGGAAAGGGACTAGGATGCTCCTGCACACTGAGGCCTCAGGTGTGTGGAACCTCAGTGTCTTCCCTGGTGATTCTGGTCAGTTACATGCCTTGGGTGGGGGCAAGCGGGTGTCACTGTTCTGAAGTTTGCATGATGTGGAGACAAGTGTCCAGGGACCCAGAGCACAAGGTACCCATTGAGGGAAGGGTCGCATGGGTGAGCAGGTTCATGTGGTAGGAAATAGAAGGGCGCCTGGGAAGACAGAGCCTCACCTCCACCTGTCGAAGCTGAGCCTATGCCCAGAGTTGATGATGAGGGGGACCCAGGACAGACAGTGGGTGCCAGGACAGGGTGCAGAGTCCCCTCGTGACTGCTCAGACCAGGGATGTGTGGAGGGATAAGCTCCCATCCAAGGGAGGGAAAGCCTCCTGAGCACACAGGTGACCCTGACACAGGGTGACTGGGAGGTGTGAGTATGAAACCTGCAGGGACCCTGAATGGACTGAACCCAAGGCACAGCTGGGGCCCAGGGAGCAGGATTCGTGCTCACAGGGTGCTAAGGTTGTTCCAAGGTCAGGCACTGGGGCCAGAACTTGATCTTGAGAAATTCCCTCAGTGTGGCAGACAGAGATAAGTGGTAGATGAGTGGTAGGGATTTGTTTGCTTGTTTATTTGACACTGCTGGTGGCAAGCGCTATGATAGGCAAGCGCTCTACCCCTGAGCCACACACCCAGCCCCTGTGAGTGAGTCTGTGGGACAGAAACACTCACCATGAGTCTGCAGCAGACTCTCAGCCTCCCCCAGGCCACACTCAGAGTGGCCAGGTGTGAAGGTACAATGGCTGTGTCAACAACCTTATTGTCCCTCCATGTGCAGAAGACGCACAAGATTGAATCAGAGGAGGCTCTGATCTTCCCTGTAAAAAGCCTCACAGCATCTTTCTTGGGTAGGGGAGAAAAGGATGGCTTTTCCTGCAGTCCCTCCTCACTGCCTCCTCCCGGCTGCAGACCTGGGAACCAGAGGCCCTGAGACACTGTCCATGGTGCTGACGACCGCCAGCTATCTAAGGACAGGTGAACTGGGATCTCCCAGTGTTTGTTGTCTGTTTGTTTTGGTGAGACTGGAGTTTGAACTCGGGGCTTTGCACTTATAAAGCAGGTGCTCTACCGCTTGAGTCACACCTGCAATCCTGACAGCTGAGCCTTAGAACCACTGAGAAGGTGGAGCGGGAAGGGTGTTGGGGCATTGTGTGCCCCTGCTTCCTTTCAGTTGCGGGAACGTGCTGTGGGCATCATTACAGGAGCTGACATCAAGTCCGGATGACTCCATCTAGTTGTTAGTGAAAGAGGATGACAAAATGACATTGAGAAATGTGGTGGACAGAGCAATTCCCTTCAAAGATATCCACACCCTCTTCCCCAGAGCCTGTGAACATGTGACATGGGGAAGGACACTCTACGGATTACACTAAGGTTCATGAGGTTGGAGGTTCTTGAAGTTTCACAGATGGGTATATCACAAACCAGCTGGTCGGGTTCTCTTGCTCTACCCAGAGAGCAATCGTGGGCAGATAAGACGCTCCTCTCGTTGTTCTGGGTCCTTGTCGGTATTTACAGGTGGTGGCACAGATGACAGTGGACAGTGGCAGTCAGCCCTTGGCCTTTCATAGATAGGGTGGTGGCACAGGGTTTGGGCCTCAGAGTTCAGGTCTAAGGGCCCTGGCAGCTAGGGGACCCCACAGCTTTCAGGGTCTTAAGTTCTACAGCTCCTGTGGTGGAGGGGTCTGTCTGCCATAGGGTCCCAATCAGTCATCAGTTTTCCCTTCTCCAGTGCCCACAGATATTCTGCTGCCAGACCGTAGTTACCTCTATGGCGCTGATCAGTTTTGTCCGAACCACTCAGCTTGGCAGCTCTGCTGCTTCTCTGCTTTTTCTTCCTGTTACCAGTTTAGCAAACGTGGTCAAACACTGGAAAGTCTTTATTGGGACCTGATGTTACAACAGGCAGGAAAAGAAGCAGCAAAGGGAGAAGAATCCCTCCCAGTTGCTCAAAAAGTGAGTGAGCAGCCTGCTTATATAGCCAGAAAAGGGAGGGGACAGTGGTGTCTGCACCAATCACAGCAGTCTCCTCATATTTGCACCAATAATTGTACAGCCCATTATGCAAATGAAGGATTGTGTTTGCACCAATCATGGCTCTTCTCTTGGGACTGAAGTGCTTACTCCCCCAGCCTGTACTGAAGTGGTAGTCATGGTGACTGGTCTTCTAGTGGGACAAAGCACCTTCCAAAAACGTGCTTACACAAGCCTTATCAGTAACAGTATTTTAACAATTATCTAACAATGCCCAACCTCTGTTCCAATGTCACAGGAAGAGGTGAACAGGTCCCTCCCATATGCTGCAGGTACAAAGCAATTGCAGAGT